GGCGCAAACCGCGGGGCCGGCGGCGAGGCAGTGGATAGTTCGTCTGCAGATGTTTTGGAATAACTTTGCCAAGTTCATAGCCAAATTCTGGCATCCATCACCCAACCAGAACCACACCCATGTCCACAGCTCGTGTAGATATCGCACCACTCAACCCAAGCGCTCAGGACAAGCCTGGGCATTCTTCTAGTAACTCTAGTACGTGGAAAGTGTTTTTTTTGCTGAGCTTGCAAAGTCTCCCCTGGTGTTCTGCACCTCAACCATGCCGTCTGCATCCATGGACCAAACCCATCAACAACCTCCACACTCCCATGTTTGGTTGCGGGGCGCTATCTAATACTTATGACAACAATGCGAAGCATGGCATCCACAAGTGAATGTGACATGGTGTGCTAGACGGCAGGCTTGGTCTGAGCCCGATTTTAGTTGTTGTCTGGCGGGCTCTTGCGCCTTCTTGAGCTGCAGTCTCCGAGGAAAACAGGAAAGCCGTTGCCCATCAATGCAGTGGCGCTTTTTTCCAGCCCGTCAGGTGCGCAAGAGATTGCTGAGGATGACGGGGTGGAAGATGTAGATGAGCCAAAGCCGCTTAGAGGCAGGGCATGTTCTCTCATGGTATGCCAGTATACCACTTCTGTCACACCAACCGCATTTCTTGAATGTTCTTACCCTTTCTCTGCCTGTGTCACGAGGGCAATCATAGTGATCAGCTTGCGAGGGGATAGCATCTGAAGAAGCAACATTGGGTGGCCCGAAACCAATGAAAAGGAACCGTGTTTTGCAAGTGTTGTGAACTATGCTGTTTCAGGCAGGCTTTGCAAGGCCGCGGGGCTGGAAAGGTGAGGCTGTGAGCTAAAAGCGCTCAGTAATGATATGAATGGACCTGCCAGACCACAGCAAAGTAGTTGTCAGCAGTTGTTGCTCGTTAAGTGCGCGGTCAGCCATTTTTGGACGGCCTTAAAGTAAGGGGAAGAGATAGGCCCTGAAACAAGTCACAACTCTTGTGCAGCTGCGCGAAATCTGCCAGGTCTCCACTGGTACTTCTTCAGCCTGGACCCCGGAGCAACTGGGAGCGAGACAGATGCACCCACAACCCATGATGAGACGGCAATCAAGTGAAATCAAGAGGACAAACAACAAACCGATTACACTGCTGTTACCCCTGGTGCCGGTTTTTGGGTGGCAAGAACCACAGCTATGGTGGTGTGCGTATTCTGAAGGGCTCCGTCGGCCCAAGCCCTTGCTTGCTCCAATCGTGCTTCCACGACTTTCCAGACTCTCCAACCGTTGCAGGGTCGCAGTGAGGTTCAACATGTTCAACTTTTCGAGTTCCGCTGGCAAATCGCACGCTCGCGAGACGGCCACTGTCATGTGGCTAAGTCTAAGTCCCAAAGCAATCACAGGCTCGTATCTCCAGTCTGGAAAATCCGATTTTGGAGGTCGTTGCCCCTCAGCTGTCATCGAAATGTCTGCAACCTAGTATACCGGTGCCGCAGCAGCCCGTGCTCTTTCTCTCTCACATCGTGTCACAGGTTTTAGGTTCCATAGCGCATGGAGGCCTCTGTGTTTCAATGCGGGCAAGGAGTTCGTCAAAAAATACACTTGGATCCTCGGAATAGCCCACTGGGGCAACGTGGCCCGGACGCCATCTGGTGTGACATTTGCTGTCTTTTCTTTGCTCTGGCTACGATTCTCGGTATCTTGGGACGTTTGCCGGGCCCCCAGAATATCCCAGAATCATGCCCTGCTCTGATAATCGGAGGGCGGTCTGAACCAAGCCCACACAACAGCAAGGACAGACAAGCTCTTAAGAATTCAGCAAGAAATATCTCTGCAGTCTGACAGTGTTGGAAAGTGCCCCGCGTTGCCCCGCAGAAACAGGAGATCGTGCCCTGATGCCGGCCAACTTGCCGCTGCTAAGCCCTTCACGCTGGAAGAAGCTAGGAAGGAGGAAAACCAGCTCGACCCTTGTCAGCAGCATGAATGATGTCTTCTTCCATGCTGACCAATGCCGAGAAGGGTCTGTCATCACGCGTCCCTGTTGGACAAGACCCTTTGCAAGGCAAAGAGATGCCCAACGCATACGATAGTAATCAGCCAGTGGGACCTGCATTCCATCCCATTGCTCAATCTGAAGGAAGAGATCTGGCCACTTTGTGATGCAGGCAAATGCGGAGTATTTGTTCAACGGAAGAACCATGCCACAAATGGCGGCTGAATGTCCCTCAGGTTAGTCGTAGTTCTAGCCCGGCAGAACTTTGTAACGTCTTCATTCGGCGCAACCGTTCACCAAAGCCGGAATGGTGGTGGATCTCCGTGGAAGAATGAGCAGCATTAGAAAACATACATGTCACCAAAACCAAACCCTTGTTCTGGATCACAACATATGGACAACCCTGTGGGACACCATTTGTCGATCCAGATGATCCAGCCCCACCATTCCTCTTGTCCAATCAATTACCCCCTGAGAAGAGTGCGTTCTTGGCCGCACTTCGCCTTCTTTGAATGCTTTGCGGGTTTTTGAGTGACTACAACAGCCCCGATTTCGGCTTGTCCCAGATCAGTTCCCATCCACTGCATGGCATGATGAGAGAGCTGGGTTCAACATGTTCTAGCACTCGATGCAAAAGCACATTTTCCATTTGCATCATAGGCCAGAAATGCGTTGGGGAGGAAAATCCCAAAGGTGCACCGGCCACCACCGATTGTGCCATGAGCATGAGGGTCGCTGCTGCTGAACGCGCCGATGGGCACGAAAATCCTGTCATGAAGGAAAGCTGTGACAAAGCGTGCTAGGCCGCAAGTTGAACAGTTGGGTCGTGTGCGTGTGTTGGATGCCCTGTGACCAAGGTTTATGAACACTTCACACGTTCAGTGACTCAACCTGTGCATTTGTTTTCAGGTTTTTTTTGTCTCACGTTTCTCAGCACGTGGCACTTGGGGGAAGGAATATGGTAGGTTCCAACAAAGACACCCAAGCCGCTTTGTAGAAACTTCACTCACGTCTCCAAGATCATGCAGGTCCTAGTGCGATGATCCGCGGCCGTTCCGATTTGCAAATATTTTCTTGTCAACTTGACTCCAGTTCAAGTGTGTGTCTTGTGTTGGAACAGTCTTCTTACCCCTTTTGCTGATGGCCATGTGCCGTTTCGGGATCCCTGCAAGATGTGGCTTCGGGATTCCAAGTGATAGTGTTCCACAGGTAGGGGTTTTCAACAGGTCCAGGGTTTGCAAATGCTCTGCAACGCTCACAAGAACAACAATAGTGTGTTGCTGTGCGTGCTGATGTTGGGCATGCAGTCTGTTCGTGGCTTCAGGGCTTGAAGGTGGATTTGGCCTCTTGATGGGGCAAGCCCAGCGTGTACCCAACTACAAGATGTGGAGAGTTCACGGCTTGGCAACCTGACGTGCATGGCGGTTCAAGCTAGACATTCAAGTCCACATTGGTCAAACACCCAAACACATTGCAAACCAACACCAGCACCGCCTCAGACAAGCCCGGAGCCAAGAGTCACGTAGGGCCATGGCCTGCTTTTTACCTTTTGGCAAGCTGCTGCCGTCCAGAGATCAAGCTTTAAAATGCCCGAGCAGCGAGCAGGCGGTTAGTTGCCTTCACACAGTGCACATGCAGAAGCAGGAGCGAGGCTGTGAAGGTGTTTGGAGCTTTCTTGCAGCGTCGTGATCTCCTGGCGCTGCACCTTTTGATGTACTGCAGATACTCGCCCGCTGACAAGTTGCAGGCTTTGTCTGATCTCTTGGACAGCTTCAACATTGATACGTCGTGCCTTTGGATGAGAGAGCTGAAGCCCAACTCGTAGGGTTTTTGAAGGTTCATAAGGTCAGCAAGGCCAGCACCGTGGAAAAGGTGATTGTGTCAGGGAAATATGCGGAAACTGGACCGAGGCACTGGGGCATCGGGACTGCCAAGCCTGTGATCTCCCTTTTACGTGAACTGCGTGAAGGACTTCGTGTTTTTAGGTGGCCAAGTCAATCGAGATGATTATGCGAGAGTTAGGCTGAAGCCCCAAGCTTATAAACCTCAAGCTACGAAGACCTGCCCCCAGACTGTTTCCAATCCGATGATGTGGCCAGCAACTCGATTAACAAGCCTTCTCTTCGTAGCTCGACGCTTCCTTGCCAAAGTTGCTGCATCCTGTCTCAGAAAGCAGAGCAGCATAAGCCGCTGTCGGTAGAGAGGAAGTGTTGTAGTAAGAGGATGGGACCCAGACGAGTCTTCTCAGGTTACGCTTGTTACGCGATTCCAAATGCCAAGCCACTGACTGGATTGTCCCTCTCGTCCGTCAGGATCGTGCTGCCTTCGAGTCGCAAAGAGTTCGAAGACAAAGAAGTCTGGCAAGAACGTGCAAGCATTTTTTTACCTTGATTTCCATTACTTCAGATCTTCACATTCCAGCTGTCTGGGCCGTTGATATTGTTGGCGTAGGAAATTCAGTAAGCGTCGTGCAGCCTGTGGTCATTGAATCTGTGGCTCCCGCCCCTGCGCTGAAACCTCCAGTCGGGACTCTGCAAAGCAGGGCGTGAATTGTAGATTCCGAACATGTAGCAGCCAGCAAGTGTGAACTACTTGAGGCACATCTACCGGCAACTTGTTTGCAAGGAACCCCATTCTTACCAGTGCTGGCACCTTGCATTTTGCATCGCATCAACATGTCAACCTGCTTTTCGTGTTGATGATGTCCCGAATTATAGGTGGCCGGTGATTTTGGAGATTTTTTGAGGCTGTGACCTGTACTCAGGTTTGTGGAGCCGGTTTTTGTTCAGCGCCTGGTGCGGCAGCAATTGTTCCGTCCAACTGCAACAGTACCTACGCACCTGTTTGCGCAGATGTAGGCTGAAGCGGCCGCTGCTTCCGTTTGAGATCTTGCCTGGCTTGCGCGCAGAGTTTTCTGCCAGATTGTCGGCAAGTGACATTCGAAGATGAACCAAGGATTACCTACTGCGGAAAAGTCTTAGTGGAGCGCACGAAGACTTTTCCGAATGGAATGCGGAAAGAGCATTGCTCTGTTTTAGCAGAGAAGAAGGCTCTACTCTCGGTTGAGGGCCCGGGATCGGTGCTTAAGAGAATCGAGTAGCTTCATGCTGTATCATCGCTCCCTAATCAGCTTGCCAGAGGCCCTCTCAGACGAGACGGCCATGCATGCAGCGATTCGAGGAATCCGAGAAGAGCTCCGCGTGCCCTGCCTGCCCCAGATTTCGCATTTCTGCAAGTTTTGTGGGTCTCCTCCAGCTGAACGAACGAAATGCTATTGCAAATTACAATGATTGAATCATGTAGCGATGAGATGCTAAGCATGTGCGGGGTCGCCAGTGGTTTCAGGAGTTTGGTGCTTGCTGTCTTGCAGTCGTGCCGTAGTGGTCACAATCCATATAGCCTTTCTCGCGGGCCGCCTGCCTGAAACTCCCGCTGAGTCGATGTGATTGCCTGCCTTAGCATTTGGCCCATGGGCGGAAGTCCTCGCCTGCGCACAGTCTGAGGTGGACATCAGCGCGGACACGGAAGGCTTAGTGCACAGCCCCTTAGAGGACATCAGCTCCGCGGCCGACAAGTAGACCCGCAGCTCCACCGTCTGACCTTTTAGAATCATTGTGCGGTCGGCTTGTGCTACAAATGTTGGCAAGGTTTTGCTGAAGAAATGGATTCCGCCTCCTATCCCGGACTGCCTGCAATCTATGAGACAACGCAGATCCGCCTGAATGCAGCATGCCTGCGAGGGTAAGCACACTGCTGAGTCTGCAGCGCAGCAGGTTAGCCTTCGGGCAAGAATAATGCGGCAGGCTAGGTTTTGGAATTCGGTGGCTTGGGGCGCAACCGTTGGCCTCGTAGATCTGTTGTGGATGTTGATCGTCAAGGGCTTTTGGTAGAATGGCAGCTTCCAAGATCCAGTCCAGTCTCTCACTGCAGCATGCATTCGAATGTGTCCAGATCAAGGAGCAATGATTTTAATCTGCAAGTCAGCACGATCTGCCTTGCGGATTTCATCAGCAAAGGATGGCACGGCAGAGAGAGAGAGAGAGATTCCGTAGCCATTTTGGCTCAAGTCACCTGCCGCCTCTTGTGGTCTCTGGCCGCGGGGGCCCTCCGGAGCGGCCCTTGGAAGTGGTGGAGGTTAGTCTCTGCTACGGCCTTGGGTGGACGTCTCCCGGAGGGGGGGGGCTTGAGCACCGTGGCCAGCCGTTTACCAGACAAAGGGCAGCCAGCCCTGCTTTGTGCACCTGTAGCTGTACCTGACCAGCAAAACCTGCTTCCCCACATAGTCGATTTGCCGTGCCGGTGCCCCGAGTGCGTCTGCGGTGACTGGAGCTTCCTACTTTGCGTCTTCCAGCTGAGAGTCCTGTCCTTGATCGAGGGTGGCTTCGTTCCAGGAGGGTGGCCATGTCAGCGGCTCCGGGCGCTGCTCGAGATCCGACAGCGGCCGAGGCGGTGAGAAGGGCTGCGGCCACGCCTCTTCAGGTGGATGTAGATGATCTGGAGAACAAGCCTGCACTTAGTGACAATGCGGATTCCCCCACCAAAAGAACCCGCTGGGACGTGCAACGCCCGCCGCCTGCAGGATCAGCACCAAGCCCCGTTTCTGGGATAAGCCTCGCTGACTTGACTGCTGCGCTAGCCCCGCTCACAGCCGGGGTCACAGAAATGCGTCAGCGCCTCACAGAGGTGGAAAACCAATTTACCACCAAAGTCGGCAAGACGTTGGACATGGTGCAGGAACTCAACCAAAGGCAGAAGGATCAGGGAGTCAAAATACAGCAACTGCAGGATGACCTTCATCAACACAGATAAAGGGAGACTGCCGCTGAAGCCAGCATCCAGGACATGCTTCGCAGAATTGAACAGCTGGAAGATGGGCAAACCAACGCAAGGCCGTGGAGGCAACCAACCTTTGATGGGGAAGGTGGCTCAGGCCCCTGCACCCCGGCCTTGGTAATGGGCGGCTGGAGCCCCGACATGGAGGAACAGGAGGTTAAGGACGAGGCGGCCAAGCTGTTTAAGAACCTGTCTCTCGACATCGAGCTTGGAGAGGCCTTCATGCCGGGCAAAGCAGAAAGGATTCCTGATAGTCCCCATGGTTGTTCAGGAAGCTGAGGACCATGTGGCACTGCAACGGCGTGCAATCGCTGCGGTGGAGACGGTGAGGAAGGCTGACTACCTCACGGGGGCGAAGGATGGGTCAGGTAAGCCATCCAAGGCCTGGTTGGCGATCAGTGAGTCTCCGGAGCAACAGAGGAGGACCAAGCAGATGTCGAAAAGCAAGCGGGCAGTGCTCGAAGGGTCTGACAGAATGGGTAAATCCGTACTGGTGCGGGCGGATTACAAAGCAGGACTGTTGTGGATGGGATCGCGGCAGATAGCTGGACTTGGTCGACCGCCACCTAGCATCCAGGCAGCGACATCGGCCTACGGATGGCTGGACACACAAACGGTCGCTGCGGCAACAGGCGAAACCAAACAAAAAGTGGAGACCAGGTGGCAACAGTTGGTGAGTACCATCAACTGACCGACGGAACAACGAGCTAACCAATGCATGACAACGCTGGAATTCATGGAGGAGACGAGGATGTATAGCGACCGGGGCCCTCACCGAGCCGCATCGAGAGGGTGCGAATCGGGGGAAAAATGGCCTGGCCTGTGCCTTGAACAGCTGGAAGCGGTGGCCAGAACCGCCAGGAGAGAGCGGCCGCGAACAGTGAGTCCCGCCAGTACAGAGTGGCGGACAGTCGGCGCACCAATGCCCAGCTTGGGGCGAAGACGTGAGGATGGCCCGGGTTTGAGGGATGACAACGGGGCTGATGTACAGCGAGAGGCCCCCCCAGAAGTGATGCCACATGCGCCAAAGGCGCTCAGCAGCACCAGATCCGCTTGACGATGTCCCGTGGAGTGTTCGCCAGAAACTGGCGCAGCTAGCACCCAGCACGGTAGAAGGAGGCAGCACGAGCGGGAAGAGCCAGGAAAAGGCAGCTTTGACCAGAGAGCACAGTAGGAATCGCAAGAGGGCTAGAAAGAAGCCGCAGCATCGCAAACATGTGGGCTATGATATACGTAGCAGAGGAAGCCGCGGAAGAAGCAGAGAACGAGAACAGAGAGGCAACCCGACAGCACGAGCGAACAGAGGCACCCCAACCAGGAGAACATTGCAAGCCCTTACTTGGAACGTTGGGGGCATGCCCACGGAGAGATTGGAGCTCGGTGGGAGTGACGGAGCTGATCCATGGACAAGGGGAAAACCGCTGGCGCATGGTGTTTGGCAAGGGAAAGGAAGAATGGAGAGGGAGAATGATCGCGGTCCGGGCTCGCCTGGGGCAAAATTACCCACAAAGAGGTGGGAAAAGATGCGCTAGGGGTGTGCGTCAAGACGGGCAGAGGGAAGATGGGGATCCTCAACGTGCGCCTCCCGCCGAAAGCGACTGTTGCCGAGACAGGGGCGCGCGCTGCAATGTGGGCAGGTATGCAAGCCATGAGACAGTCAAGCAAAATGCTCCTAGGCGACCTGAATGAGACATTCCTGAGAGCAAAGCCACAGACAGTCAGGGGAGACGCTCAAGAATAGGACCGCGAGAGGAGCACTGTTGCTGCAGTGGCTCGGTGAGCAAGACATGCAAGCCCCGGAACAGGACATTGCAACACCAACATACCACCCATACAACCGCCTACACCAACCAAGACGTCTTGATTACATCTTCACCGCTGAGATTGAGGAGGGAGCGGAGGGCGAGGTCCACCAGTTGAGACATCTCGTGTCCAGTGACCATGATGCGGTGACAGTTACTATCGGAGTGCAGAGTGAGGAGAAGGTGGGATGTAGCAGCCGACCCATGACGAGTCACGGTGCCAAACAACTTAAAGGAGAAGAAGAGGTTCAGAAGCTGTTGCACGAAAGCCAAAGATGGAAAGGAGACAGCCTCAGGAAACTGCAGCGTGCAGCGCAAAGCATAACGGAACCCAAGAGGAATCCTTTCAAGTATGCAGAGAGCAAGGACATTAAATGACTCCGGAGCAGGGCAATGCAGCAAAGACGCGCACCGGAAGCCAGGGCGTTATGGAAACAGTTGTGGACGAGGAAAAAGCAGCATAAGGAAGCATGGCGCAGGGAGCTACTCCAGGAAGTGCTAAAAACAATTGGCATGCCCTCCAAGCTGCGAAACGCACCAGGAAGCCGAAACTTTGGGTGGGAGCGCTGACGGAGGAAGAAGGATGGCAGAAACGCATGAAGCAACACTTTGAAAGCATACAAGATACAAGACGGAGAGGAAGTCAGGAAACAGGTTGTGGCCATCTGGAGAAGATTGGAAAGAAGGAAAACCCCTCAACAACCTTTTTCGGAAGAGGAGCTCACAGCGGCTATGGAGAAATAGAAATCGGGTACAAGTACCGGACCTGATGGGGTGGCATTGGAAGCACTCAGAAAGCTGAACCGGGACCCCTATTGGCAGCAGATCATTCTGGAAGAGTGTGACGACGCCTTATATAAGGGGAAGCTGCCGGAGCCGACCAAGGACTCCGTCACAGTGCTGTTGCCAAAGGAGGCGCTCCACTGCCACCAGACCCATTACCCTATCAACGAGCTGCCTCAAGTGGCACAGTTTTAGCTAATCTTAGCCCGTGCTAGTCACCACATCCTAAGCGGAGCCACATGGCAGTATGCGCAACCAGGGATGCAACCAGCCGAACTGATACTGTCCACCCGCAAGGCGGTACGCGCATGCCGAGAACGGGGGTTGCCCCTGCGCCTGATTAAGATAGATGTGTCGAAAGCGTTTGACACAGTGTCGCAGGTCCAGTTAGCAGACATGGTTGAACAGAAAGTGGGGGTTCAGGGCGGCAGGCCATGGGAAGCACGCCTGTGGACTGACAGGTTGATGAATAGAGTCATCAACGTATCACTTGAAGACGAGATCCATAGAGTAGAGCAATCCAACGGAGTGCGCCACGGCGCGCCGGTCCTTTTCGCGGCAACCTCAATGAGGTACTCGGCCCACCGCCCCGATCAGCCAACCCCACCCCACCCAACCCCATGGCAGCCGCAGGGGACAGCGTGAGGCAGGAGCAGAACCGAAAGGAGGACAAAGCCCCAGACAGAGGGCCTGCCATGCCCACCAACGGAGGTGGGTTCCAGGACGACATCTACCTGTGGAGCCATGATAAAGAATTCCTGCAAGCCAAACTTCACGTCATGGTCAGGAGTCTTGGCGCCAGAAATCTGCAAGTGAATGCCACAAAGACAAAGTATGTGCACACCTTGGAGGGCAGGCAAGTTGTTAAGGTAGGGGAAAAGGAGGTGGTAGGGGAAAAGGGTGGCACAGTTGTAGCCCTGGCAGGGGAAGTTGTACAGGTCATCGCAGAGGTGGCCAGAAGAGCACGGGGGGCGTTTGCGACGCACAAAAAGCTTCTCACCGGAGCAGGAAGTGTGGATCGCAAACTGCTTGAATACACTCGATATGTATCCACCTCAGCATTGTGGGCCATTGGCGCGGCGCACCCGCACGATGCGTTATTGAAGGGCATCAACAGCATACAGCTCATGCAGCTGAGGCAGGTGCTCAACATCAAGCGCAAACCCCTAGAACAATGGACCCATGAATCAAACATCCCTGAGGCAAGCAAGAGCCTGCCTGGCGAGGAGACCCGCGCATCGTTGGTCCACCATGGCATTGACACAAGTCTGGAAATTGTGGGGACACACAGCCAGACGCGAGCAGCATACTGGGTTGATGCTGGGATGGCGGAATCAGGAATGGTGGCGGGCGGAACAGGGAAAGCCGAACGGCCTTCGACACCCCTCCCGGTTCAATGCCATGTTAGAGGCGGAAAAGATGGTGGAAAGAATTGCCAAGCCATGGAGAGAGGAGGCTCAGAACCGCACAAAGTGGAAGCAAATGGAAGGGACTTTCGTTCAACGGTTGGACCCGCGCCGTGGAGCAGCGGCAAACAACCCTCCCTTGAAAACTTGGCCCCCAATTAGGGCGGGAAGCGAGGAGAATGCCCCAGCTGACCTGGAGGAGCGAATGATGGTCGAGAGCGACCGGATAGCCCCCCGGAAGTGGAAGAGGCTGACCCCGTGTACCGAGCCAGCGCCAAGAACATTAACAAGGTAGGTATCAAGAGCAACACCATCAACAAGCAAAACCGGCGAAGCCCATACACAATAGTGAACCACAACTATGCATCACCCAAAACCCGCTAACCCGGACACTGCCGCAAGCGTGACCACAACACCGCACACCAAGCCTGCAGTACACACCAGAGCCCAACAACAACCAATAGGGCAGCACAGAGAGAGTGCGTGAGAGGAGCGTGATACACAAGTGTACGGTGCCAGCGTGGATGACCCTTGAGTGCCTATTACATGCAGTTTGAACCTGAGACTTGGCACAGACCCGGACAGGCCAAGAGCGGCACAGGCATCCGCAAACCTGCCGGACCCGTTGAACATCGAGAGCTGGCAAGGACACGAGACTTTGGGCCAGTATCGCCTGATGTGGCTGCAGATCCTCGAAGCTGTGACTGCTGGCCAGGCAGACGTCCTCCGCTCGACACAGCCTGATGCTTCTGCATGAGGGCCGCTTCCTCAGGTTCTCCTTCTATCGGGACCTCTTCTTCTTCCTCCTCATCCTGCCTTGTCTTCTTCTTCCATGATTCGCAGCAAGCCATCTGTCAAGATGGCTGACACATATGAGAGTGCGTCTTGCAACGCAGCAAGCGCAACTGCTACCTGTCGGGGTCCCAATCTCCGGGCCAAAGCTTCTGCACGCCCTTCTATCCATGGAGCCAGGCTCCAAGGCTGCAGATGAACAGGTTCGCCCAGCTTCTGCCGCTGTGATAGCGGAGAACTGTGGGCCAACGGGAGCCAGCGACTCCCAGACCGGGGCATGAAAGAGTGCCGGAAGCCTTCCAAGCTTTGGCGGCAGTGGTTGAGGAGTGGCGCCGAGAAGTGTTGGCAAATCTTGGGGCAAGCCCCCCGCCACTCTGTGGCCAAGCGGAGCCAGAAGAGGGATCGGAGACGGACGTGGAGGACGACCACATCACCATCAGCTATATCCGAACTGTGCTGGTGCGATGGTGCAAGTCGTTGCGCCCCAGCCGGAGGCCCCCCAAGCGATTCGAGTCATGCTGCAGATCGTGGGAGAAGGCCCAGGACAACAGCTGCGGCAGTCGCAGCAGGTGGCAAGGACTTTGCAGGCTGCGTGCGAGGGAGGCGACGACCCAGTCGTTGAAGCAATCCTCCAGAACTGGGCTGATACGTCAGATGTTAGCTTTGTTGAGTCAATATTGAGGCAGCGCGGCAGAAGTAAAGGCAATAAACAGCTGGCAGAGGCTGCGGACAGAAAAGAGCTAGGGCTCCAGTGAGACCACCGGTGGTGCAGCCCCCGGAGGGGCAAAGGCTGATCACGAGCATGTGGAGCAGCGCGCAGTCTAGCCGAGACAGGGCGGCGGAGGAGACGACACATCAAACCCACGTACAGGAAAGCGTGGTTGCAAACAATGTGGAGAATCCTGGAACATATTTACCTCGGCTACAGATCCTGCGCCTCGAGCAAAGATGGCCGAACTTGCCAGAATCGCAGCGAGAGCGGGTAATGGCTGCCGTTATCGGGCAGTTGCCTGAACCAGATTTGCGTGGCCATGCGGCAATGATTGCAGCGATTTATGCACAAATCCACCAATCTGAAGCCCCCCATCAGCTCGTGGAACTCCGCATCTCCCTCCGAGCGAGCCAGGAACAAGCGATAGACGAAACAGCGGAGGTAGAAACACAGCAGATCAATTCGTCGGCTGTGAGGAGGAGCACACACAAGAGGAGCTGCAAGATGAGGACAGCAAGTCTTAAAAGGAACAGAAGGGGACAAGGAGGCGGCCGAAGAAAACAGGCAACAGGGACAAACGAAAAAGGAAGACACGAGCAAGGCCACCGCAGTTGACACAGAAGGAAATCGGCAGATTGAGCAGGATCCCCGGTAAGCACCACCGGAGCAAGACAGGGCAGACAAAGGGGTGCAGACCGTAGGCAGAAGACGTCGCTGCTGGCAGAACACACCGCAGAGGGCCAGAACGACAGCAGAGGTGGGGGGAGAGACCAGTGGTGATGAAGACGCAAAATGCTCCGTGACCACCAGGAGGACGAGGACCCAGACTGCAGACAGAAGACGGGACCGAGTGACCCGACAAGACATTGCCAACCTGGTACCAGAGGAAGCCACGGTCCAAAATTGGATGGAGAGACTGACGACAAAGCAGGCTCAGCAGTGCGCAGGAGGAAAAGACCCGCGACAAGGCGAGATCACCAAGCCTGGACCTGACGAAGGAAGATGAAGAACAGACAGAAAAAGGCGAGAGGGCAAAATGGGCGGAAGAATATGACCTCATGATCCAGGAGGAACGTGCTGAAGCTAACTACCTGGCAGAGTACCAAGAGGAACTTGAAATCGAAGAGGCAATGGAAGCGCATGATAGAGCGGAAAGGGGCAAAACAAGTGAAGACACTGTCCTCGATGGCAACCGCAGTGCTGACGAGGCGTCGTAATGAGCTCGCGCCACGAAAACGCTTGAGGGGGATGGTGACAAGGCTTTTTCCCCAGGTGCCTAGCACAATGCAGAGCATGTGCCCCAGGGGAGACAGTGTAGGAATGATTCGGCAAGATGGGCTCCTGGTTGGTTGTACCTTTGTTATCCCCCTATATGCTCCAGGTTATGGTCGAATCCAATTGTTCGCCGTGCCCTCTAAGTTGGCAACAGTTATGCATTGCGTTGTGTCAAGTGCCATGTTGGTCGTGTTGCTTGTTGTTGGTGCTGATATGGCCCACACCTGACAAGGGGCTAGAGATTTTCTTTTGAGAGTTCGAGCATGCAACCTAGCCAAGACCAACAGGTAGGTATCGAGCACGCGGGGGAAGCCAAAAACCTAGTGGATGCCAATGGGCGAAAAGAATTTTCAAGAGCCTCGAAAAAAGAAACAACCATACTCCTCTCCGGGGCTGGGGGTAAGTTGTTGTTGTGCATCGTCCTGAAAACTGGTTGAACCCAAAATGCGTGCAGTCTCACTTGCCAAGTGACGGTCAACCGGGGCACGTAACCGGGTCTCCGGATAGGGGGCTGCTGGGTAATTGTAGGTGTTCCCTCTATCCATCCGATTTGTTCTGCTAAACTACGGGAGCCCGGCGGCCGAGCCTTCATTGCAGTGTGAGCAGTGGAACAGGGTCCAACACGACAGTGGGGTGAGGGCTATGCACTGGTGTTGTGAGGCGCTGTAAGTCGAAATGGGGGTTTTGTAGGGAATTCTTACTTGCAATACCTCACTGCCTGAGTGGATTGTCAAGTCTTGAAGCTGCTGCCAGTAGCGCGGCTGCTGCGATGTCTTGACCAATCGCCCAGTGTGTGTATAGGCAGTGACCAATCGCGTACCCGCAACGGTGGTTTCCTCACGCGTGGGTTGGCAGCGGTGAAGTCCATTTGCAGGCTGCAAGGGAATCATTCGTTATAGAGAGTTTTCGAGCGGGGTCTTGAGAGGTATTTCCTGTCTTCTGCGCAGCCATGTACATGTTCAGCAACCGGGTCCCAGCTCATTGCTTCGACGCAGAGACCGCATCCTGTGCGAGGCATTGCCCCAGCCTCCTCCGCAAGTGGGGGGTAGCACAGTGAGAAGAAGAAGAAGAGAGATTTCATTAGCAAATTGCTCGGCTACTGCACCAAAGTTCTGAGGTTTGGGCAACTTCAACAATAACGTGTTGCCAGCATCACCTGGCTACTGTTCCACTCTCACAGGAAGCATTGAAACATTCAGCGTCAGAAGCCGAGGTCCAGTCAGGAAGTTCAGCGGAGCGTGCCTTCACGCACTGCGGATCCTGCGCTCAAGAGTTGGTTCGTTGTTGGTTTCTAAATTCTAAAGCTTGGCAGTCTGCAGAGTCCGTACTTATACCGTAATTAAGTTAGACCTTCAATGCACTTTGCTGACGACCCCTCAGCTTCTTGGCATATGGCATAGGGCTTGGAGTCATGAAGCTAGATCTTACAGTAAGCATCCTGCTTTTTGCATTTTTGTTTGCCGAGTTCTTTTTGAGTCAGCCTTACCCTGCGGAGCTGCATCTGTTCGTTTGATCCGCCTACTGTCCAAGCCTAGGCCTGCCTGCTTGCAAGCCTTTCGAGACTGTGGAGATGAAGCTGGAGGGGGAGCTACGTTTGGGTTGGGAGCCGGCCCCAGCTACAGCTCTAAGTTTTCAGTAATGTTTTCAGTGGCAGGCTGCCTGCTGCTGCACACTCGTGCAATCCTCCCACTGTCTTATTCTGCCTTCTGTCAGACTCAGCCATGAAGATATTTAGCTGAAGTCTACCGCCCGTACATAAGCCAATCACAACCTGTCACGAAACTGCAAGCTGTACATGACTGTCTGGACATCCAAAACTGATATGTTGACAGCGCTGGCATGTTTGACATCACTGTGCCTGCATGACAGGGGAAAACCTACCGCCCCCCTCAAAGCTGGACACCGCAAGGGGCTGTTCTTTTCCAAACTCGGCACCATAAGGGGCTGCCATGCAGGTACACAAGACTGATCAAGTCTTGCTTCCCACTTGCATCCGCAGCTTTGTTGAGTGTGGTAAGTATGCAAGTGCCAGACTCCCCTGCAGACATGTAGAAAAGATACAAACACTTGCAGGGACTCTAACATGTGCGTTTTCCTTCGCAAGCAGGAGGGTCGCACGCGGACTATGGGAAAGTTCCCTGGTAGTTTCGATCGACCATGGATCGATTTGAATCCTTGGTTTACGAAGAGCAACATAACAATAACGGTGGTCCCTGCTAACTAAGTAGAAGTAAAGTTACAAAAGTAGTTCGGGGGAAGGTGAGTAAGCCTTTAGGGAGAGGTAAGTAAGCACTTCGGGGGATATGGTTTTCGTCGTCCTTGTCATCTGCGTCGTCGTGTTATGAGGCTACAAAGAGACTTCCGGGGTGGGCTACGGAAGGGGGGGGGCACCGTTGGCACCATGACCACCAGCTGGCACGCCGGCCTCAGGTGCGTCGTTGCTGAGGAAGAGTAAGGGTAGATTCGTTGGACAGAGACCCCCGTGTCCCCCTGCAGCGCATATAAATTACACAAATCATAAGTACATATACATATGGCTTATCTTCTTGCCCATAAACACATATTAGCTCTTCACTCTCAATTTGTTGGGCACCAGGAATTGGGTCAGCCATGTGATGCATCTCATTCAAAGTCGAACAAAAGCTTAGAAGCAACACCCCGACGGCCAAACATTACATCAAACAACATCAGGTCACACAATGTAGTCATGGCTCAAATCACAGATGATCAGAGGTACGCACTCCAAACAGGCTACAGTAAGAGCAAAATGCCAAGCCACAGGAACGTTGAAAAAAACAGCGGAAAAGGTGTGCATACCGCATACCGAATGTCTTTGACAAGCCCATCTAACGGAGCATGCAATCGGTGGACTTCCCCTACGCCCTGGCTTCGTTGGCCTTAACCTGTCCAGCTGGTGGCCAAGCTGTCGTCCTGCTTTCTGGACCTAAGCTGTCATCAGTCAAGACCCATGGCGCCCAAACACGTCGTCGTCGTTGCCGCGTCCCAAAAAAACAACCAAGGCAAGGGAGGCACAGCGTTAGAAATGAAATTATGATGCCACCTAGCTGCACTCCGCACCTACGCCACTTATAGCCTGAGTGGCTGAACTGGTACTCCGGGAGCTGAAGACACGTCGGTTTTACGCTAGGCCCCACTGGGACGTTGTCTGACTGTGTCTTGGCCACTCTGAGGCTAGCTCACAAACGAAGTCGGGGACTTGTTTACTTCGGTCTGTGGGACCACTGGGTGACGTTGCTCTTGCAATGCCCAATCGTTGGGAGATGGTGCTCCCGCGCACTCCCAAGCGGGTAAGGCGCATCAATGCACGGATTAAGGGAACGCTAGCAAATCCGAGCACTTGTTTCATTTGGCCCCCCCCCCCCTCCCCCCCGCCAGAATAAGGAATGGAGGGCGCCAGATTAACAGAATGATTGGGGCTCCTGGAACCCAATTAAAACAGAATAGGAATGCATTCCTGCGTCATGGGGGCTCTTGGACCTCTATTAATTAGAAAATGAATAGGAATGTATAGAAATTTTGTGGATATCTCTGTTGTCAGGATTGGTTCCCCAAAAAATACCGTTAAATGTAGTCCCTTATCCCCATACGCGAAGTCACCTAATTGTAGCTAGTCCTTGGCCGCTAATTTTACCCCAGCAATTTTCTTTAAATGTGGACCCTTCAATAAAACGAGTGCTCGCATTAACTAGACGTAAAGTCACAAGAACAGTTCGGGGAAGGCAAGCCCTTGGGTGGAGGTAAGCCCTTCGGGGATATGGTTTTTGTCGTCCATGCCGTCTGCGTCGTCGTGTTTGGACAGAGCCCCCCTGCAACCCTTCTGTCCTCTTGCTTTGCTGGTTGTAGTAATCATTGCCCTGAAGTCCTTTAGAACTGGCCAGCCGGGGGGCACATGCACAAACACATGCGCACGCCCCTGACGAAGAGGTGTAGGTCTTTGAGCAACTGCTCACATTTGACAAAATTCTGAAGCCTCACTGTTGGTTGAGCTGGAGCGACAAGTACGTGCATGCTTCTCAGTACGGTCTTGAACTTTGTTCTCCTTTGTTGGCACGGCATCTCAGAATCAATGCCGATGTATTTTTTCAAACAACCCGACTGCGGCGGAAGGGGTCTCGAGGAAACTCACGGTGTCGAAGACCACCATCCAAACCGAGTGTGATAATTTGGAAGTGTTTGGAGGCCTCGTTCAACTTGAGCCTTTTGGCTCATTAGCTGATGATCTGCCTTTATAACATCATAGATGCAGATGCACGTTTAGCAACGGTTTCCAGTGCTTGCCATGCTCCTTCAGAGTTCATGGGCCTCGGAGAGTCTGAGTTGCAAGCACTGCGCCAGAGCATCTCATCATTTGTGATGGCCAAGGGCGAGACTTTGCTTGACCTGCTTGATTTTTTGGCTTTTGCCCAGCCAAAGCTTTGGAGAAGGTGGTAAATCACGCTCGTCCTTGTGGGATAGTGCCCAACAAAATTCGACCCAGGCGCGCTACCATGCAGCGAATGGCCCAGCTTCCAGCTCAAGAGGGGCTATGTATCAGCGGGTGAAGGTTCGCGAGATGATTCTCATGAGAGGTATTCACTTGCTGACTTGGACTTTGTGTGTCCACAATGGAGCAAGCCTCCTAGCATCACGCTGCAGCTATCTTTCGTGCTGTTGTGCAGCTGCGACACAAATTCTTGAAGGCGTTCCTTCCAATCAGGTTTGTCTGTAGCACGGCCATAAACTGTAGCTACCGTCCGTGACTCGGGCCACACCCGCATCTGTAGGCAAGATGATGCCAAATGCATTGATTGCTCCAAGACGCTGACAAAGCATTGTTTGCTGAACACTGCGTGCTCGGATCTGGGCACCGCAGGGGGCTGTCCAGGTACAGGAGGGTGATTAGTCCTCTCTTCCCATGTCATTGGTAGCTTCGTCGGGCACAGTCCCAGTGACATGCTGCGTCCCCCTGCATGTTTCCTAAGCCCAAAACTCTTTGGTTGGGAGTTACCCCCTGCTTGCATGAACAAGCAAGGTTCACACACGCAAATTTGCACAAACCAATCTGATGGAAACACGTTCGGATGTCCACTAAGAGATTTCAGATTTCTTCTCTTGGTCTTCAAGACGAAAATGAACAACTTTGTTTGGGGGGCTTTGGGGTAACGTAAGCCCTTAGATATTGTCGTCGTCAACGTCGTCGTCTTAGGGTGAACTTGAGGGACCTTAAGGGTACCCAATCTGCACCCCATTGCCAATCAAAGGGCTACGGAAGGGGCCTAATACTTTCATACCTTCAGCAATTTGCACCCTTCCGTGGGGTTTCAGAAGGGGCAGGAAACCTCCAAGGAGAGGTCTTCCCCCCGGCATGTTTCTTAAACCCTAAACGACCCCTTCATGTCGGGAGTGACCCCTTTCTGCATGAAGTAGCAAGTCGCACACTCACACACTACCTTCCTCTCCTAGCCCCTGTCCTTCTTTATCTTCGTCTTTGTATGCTGCCCCCTTGTTCTCGCCCTTCTCCTTTCCATGTTGCGCTTTTGCCTCTTTTTCTATCTCCCTATCCCTCCTTCTGTGCCTCCCCTCTGCCTCCATTACCTACCTCCTTGCATTTCTTGTCCAATTCTTCTTTCCTCTTCCTCCTCTTGCCATTTTCTTCAGGCTTTGTCTCGCTATTGACTTCAATGTTCAGGAGTGGGTAGAATTCCACGCAGCGCTCTACGGCTGCTTGGCTACAGCTGCCTCCATGCAGCCTGAGTTTAGATCTTCGGCCCCGAATTATGTCCCCATCTGTGCCTTGAATCGCGGGCAGAATGTAATACTGACTTGTGTTCAGGTGGCAGCTGCCAGACAGCTGCAGCAAACGCGTTGTTACGAATAGCTCTCTCAAAGCTTGCGGCGGCTGATTTTTGAAGAGCCCCCTAACAAGTCCCAAGCAGGCAATTTCCGAGAATTGGGCAGAGTTTTCGTACTTGATTTGATGGCCATGGTGCAATTGACAGTAAGGTTTACATAATTGCATGGGCAGATTTTTTTTTGTAGCGGCTCTGCACGAATCTGTGGCATCCATCAAGCGCTGGATGAGGAACTGAGTTCTTACAGAGATCTTGAGATAGCTCTGAGCTTCTGTAAGGTGGTGTCAAAGGCATGCAGCCGCCGAAAGAAACATCATTCCGAAGGCCGTTCATTGGCAACTCGCCCAAACCCAAGGCGCGATAGGGATGGAAGACTGGGACTTGCTCGGGTATGGTTGTATGTACAAGTCGAGGGTTGTACGTAGTCTTCTTTGATATTCCAGAGTTTTTTCCGCAGCTGATTGTGTCCTGTGGCTGCTGATGCCTTTGGGCAAGCTTCAGTTCCCGCTGCTTAGATACCAAGCCAGCACCACACAACCCAGCCTCAGACGGCTCCAGTAGCTTGAGATTTCAATCGCTTCAAAAGTCTTTCCTCAGTCAGGCCCCGGCCGGCAATCATACACTTTTCGATGCCGCGAGTCTCTTCAACTGACGGGCTGTCTTTGTTCGAATAATTTCTAACGTGTGCTATCCGCAAGAGGTAGAGTGATTAGGGGCTGCAGTGTAGCGACGCAGTCGCAGCTGGCCTCAGTTATGCAGTGAAGGTAGGATGCTAGGAGAAAGGTTT